TTTTCAAGTTTATTGATTTATTTTTTTAGTAATCTCTACACCCAGTGTGGGGCTCAAACTCACAACCCCCGAGATCAAAAGTCTCATGCTCTTCTGCTTGATCCAGCCAGGAGCCCCCCTAGACAGTTACTTTGTATGGCATGTGCTACCTATTTAAGGTAGGGCTACAAAGCTACATTTTAAGTAAATTTAAGTCAAATAAGTGGTTAAAAAAACCAAATAATGGTCCACAAGTAATGTATATATATAGGATAAAAATAATTAAAGTGGTGCCCAAAAGTCAAAGTTTAAGAAAAACCGAATTAAGATATGTGACAGAATCTCGTACTGAGTCTCTGAGTGTAGTTAGGATTTGGTTGGAATTCAGGGAAAGAAGAAACAACTGAACCTGTTTATGTACTCTGGCTTGAAACCACTCTTTAAGACATGGAATTTGAGACTGCATATACTGAGAGTATGGATGGGATGCGTCACACTGACCCCGGACTGCACCTCGCTTCCAAGTTGCCCTCCAGGCTGACCTACAATCCTGAACTGAAAAGAGTAGGTCCACTGCTGATATTTTTAATTCTCAGTGACTTGGAAATGAAAAGAAAGTGGGAAAATACGATTATCATCTTAAATTTGATTAGCCTCTAGTTAAAATTTAAAAAAAAAAGAAAGAAAAGAAAACACTAGATTGCATTGGTCTTTCATGACAAGCCAAGGGAGGAAAGATTCCCATTTCCTCTGTTCTCTGAATTGTCAAATTTCTTGCTGATTGCTTTTCTTAATAAGATAAGGGAGTAAACATTAGAGAACATTTCTATTCCATGACCATATAGCCTCGGGAGCATGACAAAAGACCACGAATTAGGAGAGGAGAGAAGACCACATTTAAATTTAAGTATATATGGGATTTGCCTTGTATTTTCCCTAAGAAGAGATGTGAAGCCACCAGAACTATTCAACTGTTGATTACAAAGTTTTTGTTTATTTTTCCAGGAATGAAACTTTTTACCAAAAAGCGTATGATACCACAAAGTTCTTAAAACATTACATTTTCATTTAACCTAAGGAAGACAGAGTAGGATAATCTATATACTATAAATTGTTGTAGGAAAAGGATTTTTTTCCCTTGAGTTGTAAATGAGCTCACGAGCCTTGTGATAATCTATCATTATACAAGTAGGTGGGTTTCCCTGTCAAAAAGTAAAAGCACCAGCTACTGAGATGGGTTTTCTGCCCACAGCTTGTTCAAAATTTTAATGCTTCTATCAGATCCAAAACTAAACATAGTATAAAACCTCGTGCTTCCAAAAGAGTTCAGGAGACTTCATCCCTAGCTCTGGCTCAGCTATTATCTTGCTATGGGTAAGTCTCATCTCCCACCTGGGACTCATTTGACCCAACCATAAAGTGGGTGGATTATAGTAGATTAGGAATGTCAACAGGGGCCAGGCAGGTGACATAAACAAAGGAAGCTGACCGGGAGTGAGATAATAGGAAGTGGTGGTGGTGATGGTGAATGAGAGTATAGATCCTCTAAAGGGGACAGGCGGCCATCAGTTCTATGCAATTGTTAGCTAGGAAAACAATCGAAGGACAGCACAAGCCTCTTATCCCTGGTGCTTCTCTCACCTTTAATTTATTCCCTCTTAACATGCTTTTCCCCCCTGACCCTCCTGCCATCCTCTACCCCCAACCTTCTCAGAGTCTCCTAGACTTAAGCCCTCTGCACCAAGTTTCTCAGGAATGCCCATGCCACCCTTGGTTCCTCTTGGCATTGGTCTTCAGTCCTACCCTGGGAGCTGGAGCCTGCATATCCTGGGACATCTTGCCTCAGTTGTATGATTCTTTCCCATGGGCTTGATTTTGCCCTACGTAGTTGGACACAACTCTGTGCTCTCCCAGAGAGTAAAGCTGTTCAGCACCAAGGCATGGGGCTCTGTGCATGGAGCTCTTTGCACACCCATACAACTTGGAGCCTGGTGCCTTCCAGTGCTCCCAGGAGGAGGCATCAGAGAAAGACACCCTGAGTTTAAATGGCCTGACACCCTTCTCCAGGGAAGACCTATGAGCCTGAACAAAGGGCTGGTGTATACTCGTTTATTGTGTAAATGTCTAATGTATAGTGGAAACTTGTACAGAATAAATAACTTTGAGACTTTAAAAAAAAAAAAAGAGGCTCTAAAATCTAGAGAAGCTGGAAATCCATACTTTAAAAATGAGAATTCTCTTAATATTTTTGGCAATGAATTAAAAACTATTTGAAAGCACTAGGCAGGCAAAATTTATATAACTGAAGGCCAGATTCAGCCTATGGATAGCCATCTTGTGATTTCTGTACTTGATGATCTCTTTCAGATCTGGTAGCCTGAACTCCTAAACAGCAAATCTTTGCTTTTGCGCATCGTCCATGAAGTAGAGGATTTGACACTGTGTGAGAAAAGCAGGCGAGGAGCTGGGCTGCTGGGGAGGTAGTGGTGCTGCCGAAGGGTGACACAGCCTAGATCCGAAGGCAGGTGCATAATGCCAGCCCTGTTTCTCTTAGCTGTTTGCGACATGGGTGATTTAATAATTATAATAGCAATCCTATCATCATCAGTAACAACAACAAAACCACCTGAGCTTATTCAGAGATGGACACGCCACTCCTAGAGTTTATGGAATTGTTTGGGCAATTTTGTTAATCCTTTTCCTAAATGGGGAAGGAAAAACGATCAAGCGGTAATGAACAGAGAACAGGGGGTGATTTTACCCTCTGCTTTTCTTTTGGGATGGAAGTCGGCAGAGACACCTCCCAGCCTCCAGGGGGCGGTGATATTACAGAGCGTTTGCCTGAGTACGTAAAGGTGCAAAATAAGATCCGGTGCCATTTTCTGGGTGGTTTTTTTTTTTTTTTTTTTTGCATAGACGGTTCCATTCCCCAAATCTTTTCTGTGTCCAGCCTTAGCTGCATCCTCACTTTCATGACATAGAGCCTTCTGTGTAGAAGTAAGTTAGAGCTGGGCTTGAAATCTTGTCCCTCCCATGCCCACCCCCACCCCAGTTTGTAGCTCTGCTACATTGGGCGAGGTGCTCACTATCTTAGTAACTCCGTTTCTTCATGTGTAAAGGAGAACAATAGCAATGTCTGCCTCATTGGGTCGATGTAAGATCATAGGAAATCCTACACACCCAAGGGAAATGCCTAGTTCTGTGTTGGTGGTACCGAACCATGTTCCCTTTCAAAGTTCTTATTTTCTTATCTAAATTCCTCCTGCTGTATTTGGAGTTCTGGTCATTTTTTGCCCTCTCTGATGGAAAATGATCCCCAGAATAGAATTATTAGATTGAACTCTATGGAACTGTCAATGTTCAACACTATTGATCTCCAAAATGTCAATTTCATATGGTTCAAGGTAATACAAAAGTAGTCCCAAGCCCAAAGAAGGGAAAAGCGGCTTCCATTTTTACGCTGGTACTGAAACACACCGGAACAGCCTATACTCTTTACATTTGGGAAAGGTGAACCCTTTGGTAGAGGGACAGACACTTTCTCATCACATGTAAACTAACATTTGTTATCCACTTCCTGCTTACCAGGCACTTTGTGTAAATATAATTTCCTTTAACTCCACAACAGCAATGGTGGTGGATAGAAACACACAGCTCCTGGTGCTTCACTGTTAGTGTGCCCTCGGTTATGGGATGTGTAATGTGCCATTGTGGTTCCGGCCCACATGTCCACACCCGAAAGAGTATTTCAATTAACAAAGAAAGTAATATAAAGAAAGCCCTGCCTTCACTGTATAGGATGGCCCAGACAAAATGTAGTTCCACAGACGTTTGGATCAAATGCTCAGATATTTAGGGACCATCCCCAGTGCTGCTGACAAGGACGAGACGTCCTTGTACTTCTTCCGCTATCTACTGGTTGAAACTCTTGTTAACTCGGCAGTTTGAGCTGTCTACAAGGCACCATTCATGCTTTAAACTTTCAAGTTAACTTCCATACATAAAGACATGAAAAACAAAATCCACTATGGAACCCAAACAGATGAGAGCTCCCCAACTGATTTCTTTTACTCCATATCCTCAAAGAAAACAAATTTCTATGACAGTTCTACAGGGGGTATCACCTGTCCGTTCTATCATATAATACCTTTTCAATATTTTTTATTGAGTACCTACTATGTGCCAGGTCCCATTGGAGGCCAGGGATTAGCACACTACAAGCCTGAGGGCCAAATCCAGTCTACTGTCTGTTTTTTATACATAAGGTTTTTTGGAACGTAGCCACACTCATTCATTTATGTGCAGTGCATGGCTGCCTTCTGGCAGAGCGGCCTAGCTGTGACAGAAATCATCTGGCCTGCAAAGCCAAAATACTTACTATCTGGCCATTTCCAGAAAAAGTTTGTTGAGCCTATTCTAGATAGAGAGGATACAGTGGTAAAGAACAATAACCAAGTCCCCATGTGTCTTCAGATGCTCCTGTTCCTAAGACTACAGTGCATGAATACTTACTGCCTAAGGGGCAGCCCACGTCTGACCCACGGGATCACAGTCGATGCCACTGCTAGGGGCTTGCGAGGAACAAGAAAAAGGACGACAGGTGTGGAGACAGATGTGCAAGAGCAGGTGAGAGAGAGGAAGTGCTGGGGAAGTGCATTAGTGTGGAAACCAGCTGGAACAGGCAGGCCACAGGGATGCCCCCTGTGGGGCCCCCAAACCCACGGATGGGCCAGGAACCACATGTATCAGAATCACCTGGAGACATTATTAAAAATGCAGGTGAGCAGGCCCCACCCAGGAACCTGAATCTGAGTTCCAGAGGTGTGACTGAGTCTCCACCTTCTTAGCGGGTCCCCCCCACCCCCCGCCCCATGTGATTCTGAGGCACGCTCCAGTTGGAAAGGCACTGGGTTAGTGTTTAGTGTTAGCGAGCGGTCGAAGGTGCTCCCGAGGTGGTCTGGCCTGAGATCCACTCGTGGCAGGTGGGAAGGGGAAAGAATCGGGGCACGGACACACAGAGGTAGATGCAGTGAAAAGGCAGTTTATTGTCTATTCATACTGTACAGAGGAACAGAGAGAAGCCACAAGTACAGCATTGGCTGTCACTGGCAGTGTTATTTCTGAAGTCGGAACAGTCAAAGTACACTTCAGGTTACAAAGTACAGCAGCTAGCCCAGCAAGTCTACTTCAGAGTCAGCACGACAGGCCCCCACCCCACCCCCCAACCAACCACAGAAATGGAAATATTTACAGAGATGTCACTCCCCCCGAGTGAGCTGCTAAAGCTGAAAATTCCATCAACAACCTACATTCACTGAAAAGCTGCATCAGACACAACATTTTCTGGAACCCCTGTGTGATTTCAACTCTACTAAGTCAGGAGCTTGAGAGGAGGGAAGAATGTTCCAGAACCCTGCAAAGGATAGGACTCCTTCTGCTTGCCTGAATAGGATATCACGGAATTGGAGTTGGAGTTGCACACAGAACAGTTCGGATCAGGCCATTGCCTGGTGGCTTCTCTGGATGTAAAGACTGGTTGCAAAACCAAGGACCCGGGTGGCTCCCTGTCCACCTCATCTCAACACTGTGAGGCTCCCGTGGTGAGATACGAGATGAGAGCATATCAACTCTCCCTTAGCACCTTCAGGCATCTGCATAGCTCTTTCATTTTGAGAGCTGTCTCCATGACCCTGATGTTCATAGCTGGGCTTGAACTGGGCCTGTTGGAGGGATTCTAGTGATGATGGAATTGAAATGACTTGCATGGGAACCAGACAGGTTATTTTTCTGCACTTGGAGAGAATGCTTATGACCTTGCCTTGTTGGAAAAGGCTCTTGGTCTTTTAGGGTCATAGAAAAAGGGTCCATCTGGGGCAAGGATGCTACCTGGGAAGAGAGTCTAACAGGGGTGGTGAGCAGACTCTGAGGCCTAAGCTGCTCTGTCCATCAGACAGAGGAACTGGTGTGGGTGAAGATCTTTAGGAAACTGAGTTTGATTGCAGTGGAAACTTGGGAGCTTGGCAGAAAATTGGGGGGGAAAATCCAAGAACTCTAAAAATACAGAATTTCATTAATGGGTAGATAAAGATAATTCTTTTCTGTGTCTACTTAACTCTGAAAATGTGGTGCAGCCCCATTGGTATTTACAAGGCCAATAATACCTCCTAAGTTTTATATTGTTGGTTTATACATTTATGTATAAACCATAGATGGCCAGAGGCTTCTGACTCACCATTTTACCCATATCATTTAGATGTACCATAATGAGTGGTCCCTTAACCTCCAATGAAGTGATTAGTTCTTAAATATGTGAAATAGTTGGACTTTGATCATTGCCGGGGTTGGCTTACAGTTAAAATGGCTATCCCCTTCCAAAACATCATTATTTATCATTAAAGGTATAGCCTAGAGAGCTATCAAATGACATGGTTTACCTAATGACAGGCATAGAAAGCTTGATCTTACAACCTAGGTCTGTTTGGAAACACTGGATTTCATGCAGTGGAGGCACATGGGCAGGCCACAGGACCTTGGATCATGCCCCTCAAGGTCTGGGCGTGTGCTACAGAACTCACCAGAAAGTTACCTTAATGGAATGGAGAAATAACTCAATCAAGGGTGTTTTCAAACTCAAGCTTCATAATGCATATAGATTTCATTATAAAAATATCATTCCTTAAAAAAATACATAAATGTAAAATACTACATTTCTAATTACCACTCCTTACTCCCACCCCTGTGGTACTCATCTTAGACTATCATGAATGGGCACACCTCTCAGTTATGGCTCAATCACACCATCTGAGCCCATCTCTCTTCCTTTTTCAAACTATGACACTTGTGCTTAAAAATATGCTCCCAGACCCAGAGAAGGGGTCCAAAAGTTCCCCTCCTTCCCTGTGAGAAGGACTGCGGAAGATCATATGCTGCCTGTGACCTGCCCAGGAATGTCAGAGCATGATATTCAGACCCAGCTGAGAACATAGGAACACGCTTGGTTGATAGATGGGCATAGACAATGTCCAAGCTATGTCCACTTTATTCCCCTTGGGCCTGACCTGCAAGGTCCTGCCTCAAGGCTCCTGTGATGAAATTCACAGCTCTGAAGCAGTCTGGGTAGGGGTGGGGAAGAGAATGTTGTGTTAATACAGCTTTGGAATACAACCTGCGTTTTGTTTTTTGTTTTTTTAAAGGACAGAAAAGAAGAACATAAACAGCAATGCTAAGGCAAACTTTCAAATGGCACATCAGAACTCTGTTTTTGTCATTCATTTTGTTCACATCACAAGGCAGATACATTCTGTAAACATACATACCATACAGTACAGTAACCATAAGAAAATAAGGAGAAAGCCACCCTGTAATTCTTTTCTTTCTGTATTTCTGTTCTTTCACTCCAGAAGGACTGCCTGAAGTCTAGGGAGAATTTTATGGTTCATGAAATATACTTTTCTTTTCATAAAAATGCAGTGACTTGCAAAAAAGAGCCCCCCGTTGACTAGGAAGAGGCATTATGGGAAGAAGAGGACCATTTACCCCTCAACCTATAGAAACTTAGAAAATAGTCACAAAATCTAAAAAAGTCATTAATTTTCAGGAAACATTTTGGTTTCCTGCTTAGTAAAAGAGAGCATTGAAAAATTGTTTTTGTTTTTTGTTTTTTTTACAAAAGTTAAGGCTGTCCAGATCTTTGATGCAGAAACTCTGCGATCCCCAAAATTACATCTTATATTTTCAAGTTGAAAGCAAGGTTTCATGCAACGGTTCTGACTTTATGTTAGATTGGAGCGGAGAGGGGAAGCAGAGGCCTATTTAAGTCATATAAAAATTAAGGGAGGTGGGCGAGGCTGGTCTAAGGATCCCCAGGGAAGTTGCCTTTTGAAACTTTCAGGATGTAATCTTTATTTTATATTTTTCTACATTCAAATAATAAGCATTTTGGTTTTTGTTAAAATGGGAATTTTATCTTAGAGTTCGCAGAAGCTATGAAAATACAGACACATAATTGCATTGTGCTCCTCACAAAAGCCTGATTTTTCTTTGTCCCTAGAAAATGCAGGCCAGTTTTCCTGATAAGACCGGAAGAAGGCTATATAATGAAAGCCAACTAGCAGCGAGAATCAAAGATCTCATCTTGCTGGTTTCTTGGAGCTGTTTTGGGATACATACCATGACTCTGTTTACCTGCTGGGTTGTACCGTCCAACAGGACAAAGGATATTTGCTGGTTCTACCCTAATCAGTGGAGTTCTATATACCTTGATACATAGTAAATTGAGGAGCTTCTAAAAGATTGCATATTTATGAAGTTTCAAAACTTATCTGTGGTTTCCATAACTGAAGGTGCATGGTGCGGAAATACAACTTAAAACTGCTTGCCTTGGCATGGTTTTTACTGTAAACAAAGTTAACCCTTTGGGAGATGAGACTATTCCCACAAGGAATGGGCCCTTTGGTGAGCGGAACTCCACAGTGGGTCCAGTGACAAAGAGAGATGGCTGAGCATCTAGATTTTCGGCAAGAATGACAACAAAAAGTCCTCTGTGAATATTTTGTCTGTGTTCACCTGTGTTTTAAATGGACAGGGCGAATGCTTTTTAAAAAGGAAGAGCTGGTTTAGTGGTTCGATTTTTGCCTCTGTCACCATATTCCCTCCCTCCTTTTTCGCTATCCATTGGTTCACTGGCATTAAATAAATGGTCATTTCAAGGGTGTTCTGTGGTCCCTTGAAATGAAATTCTGCAGGAAGCGAAGAGAAATGAGCTGTTTTTCCACTTGGCCTGAATGTTTTGCTCCGGAGAGGATACTGTACCTTGATGTTTTTTCCCCTTTTATAAAAAACTTAACCCTAACCAAAACAAAACATTCTACTTGTATGTAGGAAAAAACATGTTTATGACCAGGAAGTAAAACGGAGTTGGTGGGAATTTAAAGCTATACATGTACATTAACAGTTCAAAAAGGAGTCAAATCTAATGAACTCTAGAATTTGAGTTTCCTGAAAGTCTTTGAATACTTTTAGGTTGCTCAGGAGGCTTAAGGATACCATGCTTTGGGTTTGGCCAGAAGGGAATTCCCTCGCTCCTCATCCTCTCTACACCCAGTATTAAGTGACATCACTGGACACTATCAAATCACTTTTAGAGGCAACAAATTTTGCTTATGGAAGGAATTAATAGAATTAAGGGCAAAAGTGGTACAAGGTAAAAAAAAAAAAATTCCCCTTAGTTTGTCCTATTGCACATCAAAGAAAACAAAGGCAAGGATGTACAAGTCATCGAGATTTGTCAGGATATGTAAGGTTAAACTTTATCATTTTAACCGTTAAAAGATCTTTAATTCAATGCCACTGAAAATCTCTAACAAATGAAATACCCCTCCTTTCCCTCTTTCTCCTCTTTCCATTTAAATTGGAACTGGATATATAATTTTAGAAGACAATCCAACTAACCATTGGCTCAAAAAGACCATGGTTTTACAGCTTCGTTACTGGTTCTCTAATTAGGTTATGTAAGTCAATACCCTGTATTTTTGGAAGGTGTGATACCATATATAATAAAGTTTTTACAGAGAGAATAATGGCAAGGAAGGCAGAACGTTCTCCATCACGACATTGAGGATATGTTCGTTACGTAGTTAACTTGTTGCTGTAGGTGAGATTATAGGTCTCATCCTATAAAAGTACTGGCTGACCCTAAATCCTCTATTTTGATAGGAAAATGATGCAAAATAAGCAAATATATGCCATATTCAAACAAACCATTTACTATGGCCACATATCATTTTAATAAAGGTAACATGTCTTCCTTTAAACCATTAAATGATAAGCTTTAATAGTAAAACTATAAAGAGACCTCTAATTCGTATAATTTGCTAATCCCTATAATGATAACTGATGAATGAAAGTGCAGATTATCATTGGTCTTCCAGATCTGCTGTGTAGGGTTGCAGTGAGAGGGGCAGATCATTTTCTTCATGAGGAACTAGCTCACTACGGAAGGACGGGTAGGTCATTTCTGGAACTTATCTGTCCTCAAAGACTGATTCTGTTTATCAAACAGCAAGCTCAAGGGTTCTACATTCTACCATTCCACTCACTAACTGTGCTTTTAAAAACTCCTATTGGATCATTGTAATCCCTAAGTGAGTAAAAAAAGATAAATTATGGTAAGCTTTTAGATTGTTTCTTTATTAAATAAATTATTAAAATAATAGATTGTCCAAACATTGAAACTGTTTTCATTTTCTACGTAAATAGGTTTATCTGGCACGTCATTCTCTTCGACATTTAAATGAAGCGTAAGTGACCATTGACTGAGGAGCGTGAAGCTGAGTGGGGAGATTTCTAGGAAGAAAAACCAGATGCTATTCCGAGATAAGACAGCAGCTTTACTCAACTGCAGCTGCTTTGGTGAACCTGAGATTATTTGGAGGGAATCCCCTCTACTATTCAAAAGCAAGCCATTGATGGAATCATCTTAGGAGGCAGAATTTAGCTCCTTTATTTGTTCCTTCTTAACTTTTTTTGCTTACCTATTGGTAATAAAGTGACTTACTTCGTGCTCATTGAAATATAATTTGAGAGAAATTAACTTTTAACAATAAAAATGTCATTTTTCCCCCCTTCCCATTTGGAATAAATATAAGTTCAAGCCAAGAAACTTATAATATTAACAGTTAGATTTAGCACTGAGAAAGCTATTTAGGACAAATTTAGTTGGTTCCATAAAGAAATTCTCTCAAGACTACCTTATTTTTTTCTTGTCTGCTTTCTACAGAGGCTAGACTTGATGGAGCATGACTTACTGTATAGTTTTTTAAAACTATGTTCTATAGAACATAGATATATCTTGTGAATGATTTGCAACAGTGCTGTGAACATCTGGGCAAATAACTTCAAGTTAAGAGATCTCTGTTATGAGAACCAGTTAAAATGTTACATCTTTATTTTATTACTATATTATTTTTTTTTACCCTATTGCTTCCCTTTGGTTTTACTACACATTGGTTGCTTGCTTTGGGAGAATGCTAAGAATTTATTCAAAGAATTGTTCATTGTGGTCTAGATTAAAAAAAAAAAAACAAAAAAACTATTCTTTGATGTACTGAAATCTCCAGAAGTTTAAGAAACATGCCTTAAGAAGCTCAGCTATGTGCCACTCAATTGGTACTTGTGGAATGAGTTTAAGTACTTAATGTGGAGAAGACAGGTCTTTCTTACACATTTTTTACATTTTCAAACTTATTTTGAAGGGTGGATAAACCTACATCGTGACGTTACGGGAAACATTCTCTTTCTCATGGAGACAGAAAGAAAAGAGTCCAGAAGTAAGGCTCTGTAATCAAGTGGGCAGGGAGATGAACAGGTAAATTCAGTTCCAGCACCGACCATCCACAATGAAGTGGAAACTTGGCAGCAACCACGGTAGGTCAGAAAGACTGTTCTAGAAATATGGTCACTGCAGAGATACTCCTCAAAATGATTCCTTCGTTGAAAATAGATTAACATGATCAGAAAATATCCGTGAAAAAGAAAACAATATAAAAATTTACATTTTTTTTTCTGAGAGAATAGAAGCAAGGCTCATGGATATGCCTAAGTTTAGAGATTACTATGAATGCTCAAAACAATGTTTGCTTCATGTCCTTAGAAAATTAAAAATGGTGCTTCATATATAAAGGGTCCATCAGTTAAGCCACAGAAAGAGACGGCTGCTGATGGGCAGGTTACGGAATCAGTCCTACATTTCAGCTGTGACACGCACTGGGTTCCTTTTCTTTTACATCAGACTTCATTTCAGTTTTAACAGAAGGAAAGCCATAGGTGCACAACACTGTAATCTGGAAGCTTATGTAAGGCAGCAAAAAGCATCACCCTAGATTGAACAGACTAAGTAAGGTCCACTTTTGGCCACGCTAACAACCAGCTGGAGCCAACAGCATTTTGCCACACACGATATAAAAGCAAAGATCCACAGCAAGGGAAGCAAGTGGGAAGCCAGCGACGTGGTGACGTGTGACTACGTTATAGGAACACGCTACAACATGAAACCCCCAATGCCGTGGGTTCAATTCCAGTCAAGTGAATTAAGGCTACTATAGAACGGGCTGATGTGAAGAGTCCATTCCAATTGAGCAGTAAGAAACTGATTCACTCTTGAAGACACAAGGAAAGGTTTAGAGGAAAAGCAAGTTCTTGGAAAGATTGAAGCACACACATGCACGTTGTCTCTCAGGTGAGGAAACTGGAGAAAAATGAAAGGGGGAGAAAAATAAGAGAGACCCAAGCAATCCAACTGCAAGGCAAAGCAGGTGTTTGCTTCCAGTTCACAGTATTGCAGTTAGTGGTACAGTGAGGTCTACGGAAGTGGTAGAGAGCCCAGAGGCTGCCCAGAAGAAAAGGGAAGAAAGAAGTGGTCACATGACAACACAGCATTGACAGCGCTTTTTCTTTTGGGTACCTGGGGCTGGCTCTGTGGCCAGACTCTCTTCCTTTCCTTCTGGGGATGAGGGCTCTGTGGTGTCTGAGATCAGCCTCCCGGACACAAGCTCGGCTGCATTCCCATCGATGGTGGACACGTCTGTCACTGTCTTCTCCCTCAATGACTTCTCATCGTCTTCGTCAATGAGGACCAATTCCGCCTTGATGGTTTCATCATAGCCTAGCACCTTCTTCGTCTCCTCTTCATCCTCGATATTTTGGTAGCCCATGAAAATCATGGTGACTGGTTGATCCAAGTTGGCCTCGGGCCCTTCAGTGCTAGGGGCTTGGGGCTGCTGCCCTGGGGTCCCGGAAGAATGATCTTTCCTAGACTTATGTACCATTTCTAACTTGGCTTCTTTGCAGAGCATGTGTTCCTTCGGGTGGCCGAGGCTCCCGTCTGCGATCACAGTTCTTTCTGACACGTGCCCTCCTCTGAAGCTTGATTGTCCCGCCTTCTGAATAAGCGCTTCTACATCCTTTGAGCTTAACTTGTGCACTCCATTTTCTACCACAGTGCCTCCTGAGTGCACCTCATATACTACTTTGGTACCGTCATCATAGACTTTGACTCCTCTCTGATGGACCCCCTCTGGGCCAACGGTGGATGCAGAGAGAATCTTGGTCTCTCCTGTTTGTTTGTCTTTCTCCACATTAATTTCCATGGCGTACACAGCTTGAATGAAAACAAGAGAAAGGAAGTGCATGTTACAACAAAAAAAGCCAGTGAATGGTTAATTGCCAAACAGACAAAAAAAGGGTTTGTGCCCTTTCTAGTCTAACTGCCAAGCATCTTGAGTGTTAGAGTGAGTGCACAGTGTGGACAGAGGTGGTTATATATGTGTTTTAACACAGCAGCTTAATGCACTGGGAAACCAGATGTGCAGAGTTACCGTATCTCAATGGCACTTATACTTTTAAGGAAGATCTGCTAACGTAAGACCACAAGCGACTGTATAGATCCAGTGTAATGAATTCCAGGGAGGCTGGCAACATGCAAGTTTATTTTGATTGACAGCTTACCCTAGGCTTATAGACAATTTTAAAGGTCTTGGCTAAGAAGTGTTGTAATTCCAAAATCTTAAATCTTTTTTTTTTTTTTAACTCTTTCACTAAGCGTTCTACTGTTTTTTTCTGCATTTCCTTTTACTGTGAATGGAGAATATGCAAAGGATTTTGCAGGTGGGGCGTGGCTATTCTCCACTGTACTGTAAACTAGGCTGTTTGCAGGAACTGAAGTTACAAAAGCAGTCAGGTTACATGCTCTGAGTACTTCGATCACTGAGCTGGGTTTCTCTAACAAGAACTAGAAAAATAACAAGATGGAGGTAGTAGCGTCCCATGGCACTGGAATTTGAGGATGATGATCACAGAAAGCCTCTTTCTTCAGCCATGCACACAGTGCCAAGTCCTCGTGACTCTGCCCCACACCGTCTTTCTCCTCGGTCACCTTCTCTCTCTTCCACTGCCACTACTCAATATGCGACACTATTTCCGCTTCCCTAGATTATGGTAAGGGCTTCCTACCAGCTCTCCCCGTCCAGACTAACCCTCTCCAACTCATCCCAAGTCCTGCCACCAACCTGGCTTCCTAAGGACCTGCTCTCCTCTCTTCTATAGTCTTGTGTGACACTCCATCCTCTCCAATCCATTACCTCCGAGGCTCCCTGCGAGGCACACATTCTGGATGCTAGGACACTGAGCATTGGTCCCAGGAAGCCAGCTGTCCCCAGGCACGCTTTCCCTGGATGATCCATGGATTACATCAACCTCCACAACTTCAACACTGAACTCAGAAGTGGTCACATGACAACACAGCATTGACAGCGCTTTTTCTTTTGGGTACCTGGGGCTGGCTCTGTGGCCAGGCTCTCTTCCTTTCCTTCTGGGGATGAGGTCTCTAAAAACTCCCCCATAGTCTTCTTGGTTTTAAATAGTACCAGCACCACGTAGTCTCTCAAGCGAGAAGCCTCAGAACCACACCTGATTTGTCCTTTTCTTCCTAATTTCTTCCACAGCCAAACAACTATTGTGAGCTACTAATTCCATTTCAGACCTCTCCCCATGTACCTCCTCACCGTTGCCTCGAGCTAGGCCCCCTTCTGCTCTCCGCACAACAGCTCTGCCCCAGTCCCACCTGCCGCTTCTCAGAGTGGGGGCAAAGGTAGCCCAAGGTTTGTTTTGAAAATATTATAAAAAGGAAATGGGAGGGAGGGGGGAAGGGAGGGAGGAAGGAAGGAAGGAAGGAAGGAAGGAAGGAAGGAAGGAAGGAAGAAAAGGCAATTTAAGAAAGAGAAAAGGAAAAAGAAAAAGAACAAGAACAGGTGACAGAGACCATATGTGGTCTACTCTGTCTAAAATATTTACAATCAGGCCATTTATACAAAAGTCTACAGACCCTGCTAGCTTGTGCCCCATCCCGCCCACAGAACCTTCTTCACAAACCCTCTGTGGGTTCCTGTGTCTGTATAGGAGAAACTCCAAACTTCTTAGCTTGGCATATAATTCCCTTGGGAATTTGTCTGCAACTTCCTTGCTAGGCTTGTCTCTCTGCCCCTCATTCCATGTATACTCCAACCATAGCAAACTTTGCACTATTCCCAGAACTCAGCATCCTTCCCTGCCTGGCCTGCCTTTCCCATGGGGGCATCTCTGGTTATCATTATTTTTGAGTCCCTACCTCTTTCTGAATACTACATGTTCCCCCAGTGTGTTAAGAAGATCCCAATGATCATTTCAACTGCTCCCCTTTTCTTTAGCACAATCAAATAACACCATCCCACACCTAAACATTTCTTGCTTTTAAGATTCCCTTCTCATGAACTGGCCGTCTTTTGAGAGTTTCTATCCATCCAAATATGACCTATCCATCAGTGCCCAGTCAGCTGCCTCCCCACTTCCAGAAGGTTTCTTTGACCCTTCCATCTCTAAGTCTTCTCTCTCTTCTTAAGGCTCTCTGAACTTTTCTAAACCTCTCTGAAGCCACTTAACAATTTCCACCCAGAAGTATAATTATTTGAGGGAATGTTTTATTAGCTCCATCGATTTTTAGGATCCCTAAAGGCTAGTTTTTTGCCTGACATCTTTCTACCATTTCCCCACCGCACCAACACCTACCTTAGAGCCTTTTGCATACACGGTACCTGATATACAAATACCTGTGAAACAAATACTACTAATTGAAAATTCTACTTTGGTTGCCTTAATCTAGGCACAAAGACTTTGTATAACATGACACCAATGAAAAGGTACACACAGTAATTAATGTTTGAACTGGTTAGAAAAACAGCAATGATACTATTCCATCTGCTTGGGTAACAAGATACGCAGTCTGTTCACAGTTAACACTTAACTAAAAAGATTGTGAAGCCAGATCCAGTGCTTGATTTTCCTCATGTCCATTTTGAAAGTTTCACTTATTCAGCACAAAGATCTTGAGTTTCCTTCAGTGACATAGTGAGGCCAACCGATATTTGTCATGGAAGTACATGGGCTCACACAGGATGGTGATGTCAAGAGAAATATCTGTCTCGATTAGTTCCTGATTTCCCACCAAGCGTGTCACCAGAGAAACGGAACAGGCATTTAAAATTGTGTGTGGACTCCAAAGCCTCCTCTTTAAATATTACACTTACATTAAAAACACAGATTTGGGTTAAAATATTATGTCCTGTCACTACTAAAACACTCCTGGGACATATTTATAAATAAGGGTGATACTAATGATTGCCAGTTATAGGTACAATATCTAATTATCCCCCAAGCATTCAGTAATATGTGAACAAAATGACACATTGATTTGTAATCAATACAGAATATGGAACAAAACACTTCTATTTTTAGATCCATTGGTGATCGGGTACAAATTATTAACATGGGAATCTTTAGAGATGTCCTTCTTCTGCCCACCAATGAGAATGCTGTCATTGTTGCCCCAGTTTTCCTCTCTCCACCGTCCTAACCCCCAACCCTCGTTTTGTCTTTGCCTGTTTCCCAAATCAGAGACAAGACAGAAAGGAGGATGAGGAGGAGTTCTGTGCTAGAACAGCTGAGTAGATGCACGCAAAAACGAGTTGAGAAACAAGGAGTTCAGTAGGAAAGAGCGTAAAAGCTGCGTGGGATATGGATGGAGAGAGAACATTTTTGTGGTGGTGGAGGGGATATGGGGAGTAAAGAAAAGGACATGTGAGAAGTGCTTCCGGGTGGGGATACGAATTGGAGTCCTTTTAATATCCTTCAGGAAAAATAAAGAACAGAGTTCCTTTTTAGTGTTTTGTGTTTTTTTGTGTGATTTTAAACCATATTTTGTTAAATGTGACATGGCTCTGGGATTGAACCACATGTGGCATGGTTTCATTAGGGTGACATATTTGTATTTATATTTACATGTTGTACACTGTTCTTTCAATATTTCTAGAATATGGAATAGAACATCATAGGACATTCTGCCAATAAAATAAGCCTAAATATATTATGCCATAAAATACAACATCCATCCATATTTTTTCCCCCAGATAAAATAAGGCTTCAAAGCAAAACAGACTTGTAACAGATTTCGTCAGGGTCTGGCCTCACATGCTTTGTCTACATCCACTCTCCTCTCTAGGAAGGGATACTTAGGTGAACACTTTGAGAAGCTCTTACTTAACACAATGGCAATATTTAGACTTCATGGATAGACATATGAGAATGTTATCAGACATTCAGAAAGCCACACAGGAGGTGTGAATATTTATCTTAAATATGCAGTTTACGAATAAGCATTTTTATTTTGCTCCCATTCTCAGCCAATAATATTTTAAATGTGAAGCAGGGTGGATATGAACCAGTAGGAAAATGAGGCTAACATTTTAAATTCAACACTTTATTTTTGATGCACGCACACAATTAAAAAAAATCCTCCTGCTTTTTACTGCTGCCAAGTGGTATTTCCCAAAGGTCTCTCGCCTACGTCATGTTCTCGTGTATAAGCACAAAAAATACTCCCTTCTCTTCCCTCAAGCTTCCCCTGGCCACATGGGATACACTACAATTTGCATAGTGAGGAGGGGCTGGTGCTCAGCTTACTGAAAAAGAGTGAGGAAGGGGTGCTGCTGAGAAGAGGGGGTTTTCTGGGGAGCCCTTGGAAGAGATTTTGAGAGAGCCCCATGAACATACAGGAAAGTATGTGAAGAAAAGCTCTCTGAAATTTCCTCCCTTGAGGAAGTTTCTGGAGTCAGAGAAGAAAGAAAGGAGACAGTCTGACGGAAGTCCCAATGACAGGATAACTGAAATCTGGAAGTTTTTACAAAACGATATATTTAATTACTGATTCCCCAACATGACATACTGATGACAATAAGGTTGGAAGGTATAAAGCATTTTTGCTATTCTTTCCAAGAACCTAGACAGGGGAGTAGATGTTCATGATGTCAATGAAGAATAAGAACCAAAGTGGTGAGTTTCTGCAATGAATACAAATGAATGATGGAATTGGTGCTTTGATGTTGGGCCTCTGTGTTTGGTTTACTAGGTCCTTGCCCGCCCCTCCATAACCCTCTAGTCAATAAGGAGAACCTTAAAGAAACAGAGGCAGTCTAATGGGGATTGATAATCCTAGGCTCTAGGTTCTGAAAACAACCAGTTGTGGATTAGAGTGGGAGGCCCCTGGGATAGATATGTGCCTAGAAACCAGGG